GGTTGGCAGGCTCCGAGAAAGCTTCCTCTTTTCTCACAGAGTCTCAGTAAAGCGTTTTGAATAATCATATTCGATGTGCAAAGTGAGTTCAGCTCGTGACCTGCAACCATCTCTCCAGGGTAAAAGGGCTCTTCGAAAAGGAGAGTAATGTTACTTTAACACAGAATTTTTGTTTAACTTTTGATTGTGCAGCCGGTGAAAATACGATTAATGTATTAAGTACACTGATGTCTAGGGATGTTATGCATGTGAAAGAAAAAGAATTCACAGAATAGGAAATAAAATTAGATTGAAGGGAATCGGTTTTCTTGACAGTTTTGTGGATACGTTATGCAGTACTACACCACAACATCTGCTCATGTTGCGGAATGTGCATTTTATGGAGGCTTCAGCTGTGGACATACTTTTTGTAATTGCGATGTTGGGCAATGTATTTATTAGGCTGATTTAGCAACAGAACAGGAACGTCATTTGACGACGGGAAAGCGCGCGGAAAGGACTAATCTCGACTTCCAGTGCCAAATTTGCCACTCTGCCATTAGTCAAGCCAGTTATTTGGTTTGCGCGCGTCGTTGTCAACTGACGTTCCCGTTCAATTGCTAAATCAGCCTGTGACGCCTGCCTTTTCCGTAAAGTTTATGCGCGCGCATTCTCGTCAACGTCAGTATACCAATGAATGTAACGCCCTGAAATGCGTGCGGCAAATTGCAAAAACGGTATTTACGCGGTGTCATACTTTAAGGAAATGTTCTTTCCTGAATTCCTCAGTCCATTTATTCGGATAGTCTTTTTGTTTCCTTCACATTGGCCTCTTTTCCCTTCAGTAGAAATTCTTAGATGAAGATCACCGTTTGGTATGCACGGAAAAATCTATTCAGATGTGGACTCTTCTGTTTTGATTGAACCTCTTCGTAAAGAAAATCACAATTTGACTAGTTCCTAGGTCTCATTAAGGTCAAGTAATACAGGCAACATTTTCGCACAACTTGTCGCGCAACATTGTTGCGTTGCAAGTTGAATAGCGTTGTTGCCCGTATTACCACCCTCGCTCTCAACTTGTCACGCTACAAATTTCGATGTTGCAAGTTGTGGCAACATGTTGCGCAAAGTAGACCTGAGTTCTACTTTTTGCAACAAACTTTCACTTTTATCATTTGTATCACAACTTGCTTCACTTCACAACACTCGTGACTGGTCAATTTTCCCGCACCAAAAACGCGGGAAAGATGGTGAGTAAGCGCGAGCTTGACCTCGGGCATATCCGATTTGGGTAGGAAGTAAACATGGCCGAAGTTGTGGAGGTTGAGAATGTTGAGACCCAACATTGTGAATTTATTAGTGAAAAAATGTCAGAGGCCCAAAGAAAAGATTTGTGCAAAGAACTTAAAAAGCACCCATGTCTGTGGGAAACTTGTGGACCAGAGTATAAAAGCAAGCCACGGAGGTCAAGAGCTCTGGATGAGTTATGTCAAAAATTTAACGTTTCACCAAACTGCCTGAAAAAACAACTACATAGCCTTAGAACGGCATTGACAAGGGAAGTCAAAAAAGAAACCACAGAAGGTCAAAAAGCCATTTTGTTTGCTGACACAAAAACACACTATTGACCAATCACAACGCATGATTTTCTTAAAGAGCCGCAACTTGCAACATCGAAATTTGTTGCGTGACAAGTTGAGAGCGAAGATGGTAATACGGGCAACAGCCCTTTTCAACTTGCAACGCAACAAAGTTGCGAGATAAGTTGTGCGAAAATGTTGCCCGTATTGCTTGACCTTTATTCCGCACAGCCTACGTGTTTCCGGTCACGTGGTACCAGCGAGTTTGTGTGTTCCCCTCCGTTCGTCTTGGCAGGTGCTACACAGGGACTAAGAAATATCACTTTATCCTGTGAATGGAACTGTTACTTCAATGTGGCCATTAAACGTTTGTTTGCACGCGCATGTTATATACGTCACAAACAAAAACAGCATTTCTAGCAAAATTCTTTTACTACTGGTTACAAGTTACTTGAAGTTGAAATATAACTTCTATTCCTACCCATAAAAATACACTAATTAATGATTATTTCAAATGAAGAATCAGCTAAAAACTGCAAGTGGCAACCATGGATTCCTTACCAGATGACGTTTGGTTGGAGGTGTTTTCTTTTCTTCCTCAGAAAGATCTTCTCAGAGCTGCTCTTGTTTGTCGGACCTGGAAAAGACTGTCACGTGACAGCTCTCTCTGGTCATGCCTTGATCTCCAACCGTACGCCAGATCGGTCAGAGAGGATATTATACTGAGGGTTTTGAATACCGTGTTTGCACCCCTCGGTAGACAACTCAACCTCAGTAAGAATTTGGTGACCACGGAGATTTTAAAAACCATATTTGAAACCTGCCATCGACTGCAAAGTTTAAGTCTGAACAACAGCAGATTCCATTCTATCGGGCCTTGGCTTGAAAGGACAGTGGATCAGGTGGAAACCTTAATATTTCTGGATTTAAGAAACGCAAGTGGATTTGCTGCTGGAATTGAGGATATCTTGCAAAAAGCATACAACTTAAAGTATCTAGGTAAGTAAATCGGTCTCTTTGTTTAGCGCAGATAACAAGGAGAAGATGTATTGATCGCTTGTTACTAGCAAATTTTTTCATTGGTATTTCCCAAAGTAAGACGCTTTACTGATCTAACAATTCATCGATTTTCTTCAGATCTGGCGTCCCTTGAGTTGTCGCATTGACAGGGTTCATTTTACGAGCATTTAATAAACTATTATTGGATGATGTTTTTATGTTAAAACTTATAGATACCTTAACTTTAGACTTGCTCACATGTCGAGCACGCGGTTTTTCTCGAGCGCAAAGCTCAGGCTAGAAATTCTTTATGTTTTCGGCGGCAAAGCGAGCGACGGAGAGAGCTGGAGTCTACTACCGGAACCGGAAACAAGAAGCGATGGACTTTGAGAAAGTCTACCGTAACTGTTACCGATAACCTCCCAAAGAAACGAATTTCTTGATTAGTGTTTTATTGTACATAATTTTTAAAATAACGCACGGAACACAGTTCATTATTTCTCATAAAAAAAGGATAGAAAGTGTAAAAATTCAGCTTGGAAATCATGCATTCCACGCACAACCCACAGATTCACATAAATTTGAGCTAATGCAGAAAGCGTAGTACGATGTAGCATAATCACAATCGTCAATCACCTCATGGAGATGGAAAGTAATTCTGACCTCCACGCACATGAAGATGAATGTCAGCAAATATCGATAGGCTTACTTTTTCCTGATTGGTCAAACTGTGTGACATTTTTCGATCAATGAAACAAAGCAGACAAATCGCCAAATTGATTGAACAGTTAGCCAGACCAGTCCACCCGTAGAGAGAATTTCTCTACTAATCAGCACTATCCCATCAAGCTCTTCCTCAGGGTCTTCCCGCCCCTCCTATTTTCTATGGAAAAAGCCCTGGGAATGAGGTAAGCATGGCTTAAACTCCTTAATTAGGCTGAGTTATAGGCGTCTACAGTTATTTCGAAAAAGGTTGTCGGAAAAAGTGCACGCGACAATCCCGAAAGGTATTGTGGGTGGTTTTGAGATCACTGTTCTTGATAGAAATTTTGAAAGGATGGCACGAGAGGCGATGGACCATGTTTCCGAGTGCTAAAGCGAAGCAGCAAAAGTAGGTTGGACAGCTACAATGTCAGAAACAGTGTATGGGTCATATCCCATATTACCTTTCTGGAATACCGCGTGTACTTTTTTCCGACAACCTTTCTCGAAATAGCTGTATACAGAAAAGGGAAAGGCGCGCAAGAACTTATGTACTTTATTGGTACTTGATGTCGCGGGTCTTTCATTTCGCGTTTTTCTCGATTGTTAAGAAACTGCGAAATTAAAGACACACCGAATTTAAATCCTCGCGAAATTTAATACCCGTGTCGAGAATTCACTGAAAAAAAATTAAAATAGCAATGTTAATGTAACAACCAATGTATCGATAAGTAAAAAAATCTGGTTTTAGTTTTTTTCAGTTTCTTTTTGTATCTTCGATTGTGACAACGTTTTAACTCTTAAAGGTTAATTTGTAAATAGGTGTTTTGCTTTTTCTAGTGTTAAAAGGATATTTTAAATTATGCACTTTGCTTTTTCCAATTTGTTTCGAAATTTAAGAAAGTTCAGAGTCATTTCGAAAAATAAAATTAAGTTGAGTAATTCAAAAACAGGCTTATTGCTCGAACTAAAAATTGCTCCATCTTCTTTTTATTTTCGTTCTGCAGGTCTTCACTGTTGTATCAGTCCTCAACTGTTTAAAAGCATATTCAGCAGAAAACACCAGCTCCGTATCTTAGACTGTACTCAATGTGACTGGGTCACTGATGATAGTATCCAGATTGTTGCTGAGAACTGCCCCTTTATGGAATCTTTAACGCTCGCAAAGTGTCGCAACATCCAAGGGAAATCATTACCAAGTCTATTGAGCAATTGCCCAAAGCTAAAGACGCTCATATTAGAAGGTACCCAGATAAAAGACGAATTCTTAGGAACAGCCGACTGGGAAAACACCAACATCATCGAGTTAAATGTGCTAAGCTGTTATCGACTGTCATTTTCCGGCCTTTCAGCGGTATTACCAAAACTAAAGCGCCTGCGCTACTTGAAGTGCGCGCTGGCCGACGAAATTCTCCGTCTCATAGTGAACGGCTTTCCGTTGTTAGAGGTTTTCTTTCTTCATCGACGCTATCCAGTTACCGTTCAAAGCGTCAGTGATTTGCTCTTTCACTGTCCGAGTGTCACGTGCTTGGATATTTCATCTATTCTATTGGCGTTTGTTTATTTTGAGACTTTTTTACGCCGTATGCCCCGGCTTCAACTGTTAAGCTTTGCAGGCAACGAACTCTTGGGGACAGAAAACATTATACTTTCGCTTGCAAGAAATTGCATTGACTTACAAGTGATATGTGTTAATTATTTTCACTCGACAGATAACTTCGAAATCGAGCGCTCCTTTGTATTTTTGCTTCAAAGATGCCGTAAGCTCAAGGAAGTTATTTTAAACGGTTTGTTCGTGAACAATTTAGTTGTTTCTATACGGAGCTTAGGGTATTATGTGTGCGATAGAGACGACATATTGGTAGCAGAAAATAAACACTTTTTTCTTCCCGGACCTCAAAACAGTCTTGATAATGTCAAGTTATAGGATTATACAATACTGTTACATAACACATAGATTGAGATTGTCATAGGTGGGGCTTGTTCACCAGTATATGAAAGAACAATAAAATAAGATAACAAAACACTCCTGATTCCGCTGAATTTTAGGTGTGAAGTAAAATGTTCCCATTTATAGTAAAAGAAAGGAAATAGCCGTCACATTTACATATTTGCTTTTTAACACTGTGAGCTTTCGCATTTTTATACAAACTTCACGTTTCGTTTGCTTGTCATGATTTCTCAAAAGTGATCTAAAGTGACAGTTACAGGTTATGACGAGACTATTAATTTTGTACAAAAGTTTGCAAGGGGTCTGGAAATTAGATTAAGAATTCCAAATTCTTAACAGTAATGAATTCAAAAGGAAGCAGCTAATAAAACATCAGCTTTCCACTGCTGATGTTGACATTAAGAGCTGGGTTAAGATCTTGCGTAAACGATGTTTCATTTTATCTTGCAATAGTCCGGGAGCTAGGGCCTTTTTGCACAACCCAGAGGACAGAAAAGGTTTGACGATGGATTTTGATAGATTACAGCATCCTCTTGTTGGCTAAGTAGTTCGTGGTTTCAAATTGTGGTACACGTTTTGAGTTATAGCTATGTTTTTAACAGCCGTCGACAGTAAAAATAAATTTATCATGAAAAAGAGGCTGAAAGTTCAAGCCAAATAAATTATCAGAAACGCACTCCACAAGAAAAGCAACATGCTGATATATCTTCTTCAGAGACGTCTCCAAGATATACATTTAACAAAACCACCGCCGTTTTAGTCATAGCGAGCGATATAAGAAATATGTTCTTCTATAAACTAGAAGCTAAAATACCGTTTCTACGACTACAATCACATGAGTCCTTATTATCACATCTGATGAATTCTACTGACTATTTTATTAACATCCAATTAATTTCATTTATATCAACTTGCTTTGAATTGAGAGACAAACTTTGCATGTTATATACGTCACAAACAAAAACAGCATTTCTAGCAAAATTCTTTTACTACTGGTTACAAGTTACTTGAAGTTGAAATATAACTTCTATTCCTACCCATAAAAATACACTAATTAATGATTATTTCCAATGAAGAATCAGCTAAAAACTGCAAGTGGCAACCATGGATTCCTTACCAGATGACGTTTGGTTGGAGGTTTTTTTCTTTTCTTTCTCAGAAAGATCTTCTCAGAGCTGCTCTTGTTTGTCGGACCTGGAAAAGACTGTCACGTGACAGCTCTCTCTGGTCATGCCTTGATCTCCAACCGTACGCCAGATCGCTCAGAGAGGATATTATAATGAGGCTTTTGAATACTTTGTTTGCACCCCTCGGTAGACAACTCAACCTCAGTAAGAATTTGGTGACCACGGAGATTTTAAAAACCATATTTGAAACCTGCCATCAACTGCAAAGTTTAAGTCTGAACAACAGCAGATTCCATTCCATCGGGCCTTGGCTTGAAAGGAGAGTGGATCAGGTGGAAACCTTAATATTTCTGGATTTAAGAAACGCGAGTGGATTCGCTGCTGGAATTGAGGATATCTTGCAAAAAGGATACGACTTAAAGTATCTAGGTAAGTAAATCGGTCTCTTTGTTTAGCGAAGATAACAAGGAGAAGATGTATTGATCGCTTGTTACTAGCAAATTTTTTCATTAGTATTTCCCAAAGTAAGACGCTTTACTGATCTAACAATTCATCGATTTTCTTCAGATCTGGCGTCCCTTGAGTTGTCGCATTGACAGGGTTCATTTTACGAGCATTTAATAAACTGTTATTGGATGATGTTTTTATGTTAAAACTTACAGATACCTTAACTTTAGACTTGCTCACATGTCGAGCACGCGGTTTTTCTCGAGCGCAAAGCTCCGGCTAGAAATTCTTTATGTTTTCGGCGGCAAAGCGAGCGACGGAGAGAGCTGGAGTCTACTACCGGAACCGGAAACAAGAAGCGATGGACTTTGAGAAAGTCTACCGTAACTGTTACCGATAACCCCCCCAAAAAACGAATTTCTTGATTGTTTTATTGTACATAGTTTTTAGAATAACGCACGGAACACAGTTCATTATTTCTCATAAAAAAAGGATAGAAAGTGTAAAAATTCAGCTTGGAAATCATGCATTCCACGCACAACCCACAGATTCACATAAATTTGAGCTAATGCAGAAAGCGTAGTACGATGTAGCATAATCACAATCGTCAATCACCTCATGGAGATGGAAAGTAATTCTGACCTCCACGCACATGAAGATGAATGTCAGCAAATATCGATAGGCTTACTTTTTCCTGATTGGTCAAACTGTGTGACATTTTTCGATCAATGAAACAAAGCAGACAAATCGCCAAATTGATTGAACAGTTAGCCAGACCAGTCCACCCGTAGAGAGAATTTCTCTACTAATCAGCACTATCCCATCAAGCTCTTCCTCAGGGTCTTCCCGCCCCTCCTATTTTCTATGGAAAAAGCCCTGGGAATGAGGTAAGCATGGCTTAAACTCCTTAATTAGGCTGAGTTATAGGCGTCTACAGTTATTTCGAAAAAGGTTGTCGGAAAAAGTGCACGCGACAATCCCGAAAGGTATTGTGGGTGGTTTTGAGATCACTGTTCTTGATAGAAATTTTGAAAGGATGGCACGAGAGGCGATGGACCATGTTTCCGAGTGCTAAAGCGAAGCAGCAAAAGTAGGTTGGACAGCTACAATGTCAGAAACAGTGTATGGGTCATATCCCATATTACCTTTCTGGAATACCGCGTGTACTTTTTTCCGACAACCTTTCTCGAAATAGCTGTATACAGAAAAGGGAAAGGCGCGCAAGAACTTATGTACTTTATTGGTACTTGATGTCGCGGGTCTTTCATTTCGCGTTTTTCTCGATTGTTAAGAAACTGCGAAATTAAAGACACACCGAATTTAAATCCTCGCGAAATTTAATACCCGTGTCGAGAATTCACTGAAAAAAAATTAAAATAGCAATGTTAATGTAACAACCAATGTATCGATAAGTAAAAAAATCTGGTTTTAGTTTTTTTCAGTTTCTTTTTGTATCTTCGATTGTGACAACGTTTTAACTCTTAAAGGTTAATTTGTAAATAGGTGTTTTGCTTTTTCTAGTGTTAAAAGGATATTTTAAATTATGCACTTTGCTTTTTCCAATTTGTTTCGAAATTTAAGAAAGTTCAGAGTCATTTCGAAAAATAAAATTAAGTTGAGTAATTCAAAAACAGGCTTATTGCTCGAACTAAAAATTGCTCCATCTTCTTTTTATTTTCGTTCTGCAGGTCTTCACTGTTGTATCAGTCCTCAACTGTTTAAAAGCATATTCAGCAGAAAACACCAGCTCCGTATCTTAGACTGTACTCAATGTGACTGGGTCACTGATGATAGTATCCAGATTGTTGCTGAGAACTGCCCCTTTATGGAATCTTTAACGCTCGCAAAGTGTCGCAACATCCAAGGGAAATCATTACCAAGTCTATTGAGCAATTGCCCAAAGCTAAAGACGCTCATATTAGAAGGTACCCAGATAAAAGACGAATTCTTAGGAACAGCCGACTGGGAAAACACCAACATCATCGAGTTAAATGTGCTAAGCTGTTATCGACTGTCATTTTCCGGCCTTTCAGCGGTATTACCAAAACTAAAGCGCCTGCGCTACTTGAAGTGCGCGCTGGCCGACGAAATTCTCCGTCTCATAGTGAACGGCTTTCCGTTGTTAGAGGTTTTCTTTCTTCATCGACGCTATCCAGTTACCGTTCAAAGCGTCAGTGATTTGCTCTTTCACTGTCCGAGTGTCACGTGCTTGGATATTTCATCTATTCTATTGGCGTTTGTTTATTTTGAGACTTTTTTACGCCGTATGCCCCGGCTTCAACTGTTAAGCTTTGCAGGCAACGAACTCTTGGGGACAGAAAACATTATACTTTCGCTTGCAAGAAATTGCATTGACTTACAAGTGATATGTGTTAATTATTTTCACTCGACAGACAACTTCGAAATCGAGCGCTCCTTTGTATTTTTGCTTCAAAGATGCCGTAAGCTCAAGGAAGTTATTTTAAACGGTTTGTTCGTGAACAATTTAGTTGTTTCTATACGGAGCTTAGGGTATTATGTGTGCGATAGAGACGACATATTGGTAGCAGAAAATAAACACTTTTTTCTTCCCGGACCTCAAAACAGTCTTGATAATGTCAAGTTATAGGATTATACAATACTGTTACATAACACATAGATTGAGATTGTCATAGGTGGGGCTTGTTCACCAGTATATGAAAGAACAATAAAATAAGATAACAAAACACTCCTGATTCCGCTGAATTTTAGGTGTGAAGTAAAATGTTCCCATTTATAGTAAAAGAAAGGAAATAGCCGTCACATTTACATATTTGCTTTTTAACACTGTGAGCTTTCGCATTTTTATACAAACTTCACGTTTCGTTTGCTTGTCATGATTTCTCAAAAGTGATCTAAAGTGACAGTTACAGGTTATGACGAGACTATTAATTTTGTACAAAAGTTTGCAAGGGGTCTGGAAATTAGATTAAGAATTCCAAATTCTTAACAGTAATGAATTCAAAAGGAAGCAGCTAATAAAACATCAGCTTTCCACTGCTGATGTTGACATTAAGAGCTGGGTTAAGATCTTGCGTAAACGATGTTTCATTTTATCTTGCAATAGTCCGGGAGCTAGGGCCTTTTTGCACAACCCAGAGGACAGAAAAGGTTTGACGATGGATTTTGATAGATTACAGCATCCTCTTGTTGGCTAAGTAGTTCGTGGTTTCAAATTGTGGTACACGTTTTGAGTTATAGCTATGTTTTTAACAGCCGTCGACAGTAAAAATAAATTTATCATGAAAAAGAGGCTGAAAGTTCAAGCCAAATAAATTATCAGAAACGCACTCCACAAGAAAAGCAACATGCTGATATATCTTCTTCAGAGACGTCTCCAAGATATACATTTAACAAAACCACCGCCGTTTTAGTCATAGCGAG